GCATCGCTGAACACGACCCAGCAATTGAAAATCAATGGCACTTTGCGAGAACGTGGCGGCTGCTGACACCTGAGGGCCACTCCTTCACTCCATAGCCCTCGAGCATCAAATTTGTCCTCCCACCGCCTGCAGGTGAATATAGGTGAATGCAAAAACACTATCTACTTGCCATGAGCGAGAAGTGTGACTAAAAAACTATTGAGAACTCATGCCAAAAGCGCTAGTCAGGCATGTTTAAAACAAAACAAACTTTAATAGCTCATGGCTCCTGAGCTCTCCTCTGTAGCCAGAGTGGGAAGCCTTGTCAGACAGCAACCATGGTGCCACCACAAAAGCCACAGATGTATTTGGCCGTTTTTTCAATCCATGAGCAAGCAGCTCTGTGTACTCGTTGAGCTCTGCGTTGGAGCAGCGCCCACACTTCATCAAGTCTAGGATCATGACAACGGGATTGTCAGGAAATCGTGTCAAGAACTGCAGGGGCGTCAATAAGCAAAACAAGATGATGAACACTAGTGACATGACAATCTTGACTCTTCGCAGAACAGTGACATGGCTTTGTTTGGAAAGCATGTTTGGTCCAAACCCCTGGCCCTGTCAATGAGCGCTACTTGGTCTTTGATGTTGCCGCTGTGAACTGCCACATGTGATGCCATGTGTTCAGCAACTATGCCAGCCCCTATGCTGTTCTGGTGACGCAAATGCATCACCTTCTCAGTGCGAGCTGCCTGTTCCGAAGAGGAGACCGCCTTCATGAGCTGACCCAACTGCGCTGCATCTCTAGCTAGAGAAAGGCAGTCTGCATCGAACTGTGCTTTGCGGGCGTTGAGAGTCAAATTGTCCACTGTTGCATCCGTTGCAGCCACCTTGGTCGACACTGTTTCCTTGGGCTTGGGTACATTCTCCAACCAAAGGTTTGTCTCCTCAATTCTGAAACCGTCATCCAGTACTGCCAGGTACCCATCCATCTCCGCGTTGAAGTCCCTCAATGTCTTAAATGATTGCACATGGTCTTCAAAACATATTTCCCTAGAAACTTAAAAGAAAAGAACATTGGGCCAGATCAACTTAAAAGAAAAGAACAGTACATAGGTTCCAATGGCTTCAACAAGCAACCCTTCCACGCAGCGTTCCCCAATAGATGTCACGAGCTCCTCGTTGAAAAGCTTGTTCCCGTCGGCGTCCACGGCATTCTTCATACCAGCGTAGATGGTATGCAAGAGGCAAATGCGATCACATTCAGCAGCCCAATCTTGCATGGAGAGCCTAGAAACAACCTTGCTTCCGCGACGGTTCAAAATCTCGTGCAAGAACAGGATTCGTTCGATGAAACCCTCCTGTTTGCCAGCGTCCATAGTCAATATGGCTGACCAGGTGTGGCTCCTTCTGGCCCTGATGTCTTTGGACAGCCCCCCGATCAGGAAGCGACCGTCAAGCAGCATTGCATTCGAGAATGCTGCAGGGCCAGGAACGACAATCAATGAACAGCAACATATGACAGACTCAATGCAGTTTCATTAAGTATCAACAGATAGCTTGGCGCGGTCTACAAATGTCTATCCATAGTTTCCACACACTAGTGGGGAATTTGTTGTTTATTTGTGTCTCAGACTGGCCTGCTTGGTCAGCTCGGTGCACATGGAAGTGTGTCTCGAGCAATGTCCAGGACTTCGGTGAGATGCCAGCCTCAAAGAGCAGTTCAAGCCCAAGAGAAAGGGACAAGTCAGATTGAACACCAATTATTGGTCATAAGTCATAGGGGGACAGAAACCAATCAATGGTCCGGACAAGTTGGTTAATAAGACAAGTGGCAGAAAATCCGTACATGAAGATTGCTGTAGAAGAGTCTATCTGGAATCTTTTTGCAAAGGCAGCCACTTCGTAGGAGTTGTACTCTTCGATGGCCTTCAGAAAGGCTTCTTTGGGCTGAAGGTCTCGGTCCTTTGGACATGGGCGGGAAGGGACTAAACTGGGACTAGACTGACTAGACTTTGAACTTCTCCTAGAAGTAACCATGAAGGTTTTCTCTTTTGACGAGTGAACGGGCAGGCTCGAGTTTAAAAGTTTTCCCATCTAAGTCTGCTATGAAGCCCGTCCTCCACCACCAATTCATCTGCACGTGATTTGAAGAGCATGACCTTTTGCAACAAAGTCTTCCGCTGTCGCTCGGATTCTTGTTCATGAGTTTGCATCCGTCGCCACAAGCAATCAACCCTTGAGGTGGAAACAAACTTGCACTTGATGAACCTCACCGTCTTCAAGAACCTGCCAATCAACAGGCGGATGAAGGCTTGCTCCACCTACCTCCTGAAGTATTTTGGGTGGTGTTCAATTGGACCATGAATAGATAAGCGTCACCCTGGGAGGGCCCAAGTTTCCCAAGATTCTAGGACGACGGTTTGGACCAAACCATCACCCTGGGTGGGGTGTTCTGGGTCCATTTCTGGCACCCCAGAATATGTTGGATTATATTCCGCCGCCGATCGAATATTAATAATATATATCCTGGGTCGGGACAAGGAATACCCTATGATATTCTGGGTGCAATAATTGATATTCTGCGATGGAGAGCCAGGACGACGGTTTCACCCAAACCATCACCCTGGGACCCTTGGGATTTTGGATGGTTTTAGGGCGACCCTTTTCATCTGACTACCGGGCCTTGTAAAATCTGCTTGCATCTCTTCAGACATATCACGCTTATGCATGTAGGTGTAAACCACTGCGAACAGGATGATGGACAACCGCCCCAATCCTTTGACGCAATCCAGACATTCGAAGTTGTAGGGTCCCTCAGGCTTGGTCCCCAGTGATGGTCGTACTTCAGCTGTGCAACGCCAGGACTCAAACCCGCGATGGAGCACGTCCTTCGCGGTCATGACCCAAGAATGAAATATTGGGAGACCGTCAGATGGACGTGTGTAGCACATAGCCAGTAAAGGGACGTCAGCGATGTCGGTCAAATGGTCCATTGAAGCCTGCAGGAATGAGTTATGGCTAGGGGTTGACGCTTCATGAATTATTCTTTATATATAACCATAAGAAGTAACAGTAATAAAAATGCTACAGGCGACCATCTATCTGAGGAGCTGGGAAGTTGTACGTCCTTGGGTCTGGAAATTCAGGGTCTAACTCTGTGAGCCATGTCAACAATGGCTCCATGATGTCTTTCTTCTTCAGACATCCCACAAGCCATTCGACTGGGTGCTCATCAACGGGGAGTTCGATTTTCCTAAGGACAGGTCTTTCAAACAAGATTCTAAAGTTTAGTAGCCTAGCACGAAGTCATGTCTACATGTTGCCACAAAGCTTCTTTACATCTTCATAGACGTGGCTTGCCCAAACTCTCGTGGTTCTCAGGTCCTTCTTGCTCCGATCATCCGGGGCCGCCGTGGCACGCTTCCCCATCTTTGATGAGGCCGAGCTCCAACCAAAATTTCTCAGCGCTACTGGTGTCACATGTTGATAGTACATATTAAAATATGACCAATCCAAAATGAAGAACGAAGGCAAACACATATTTTCCAAAGGCCTCAAGCGAGTTTGCAGGTCCTCAATTAATGGCCAGTCTAAACCCGTGCAACTTTCAAGCAGTGGGTTTCATGTCCAAAGCTAGCACAGCAGCAAGCAAAATGGCACCAACGCATGATGCTGACATCGAATTGCCAGCAGCCCGAGCGATTTGCCTTTCGCTCAAACAAGAGAGTTCAAGCTTAGGTGATCCGCATTTCCTGGCTTGACCTGGAGTTACAGGCAAAAGCTGGGAACTCACCATCTCATGACCTGTCAGGAAGCGCTTGTGCTCCTGCTGCGATGTGCGAAGAGTGGGGCGGCTTGGAGACTCATGGTTTACATGGTTCACTGAACAAAAAAAGGGTCAACACTTAGCATGATTTCTCTCCTCATGGAATATGCGAGCTGAATTTGTTGTCAATGTTTGAAGGCTACCGCATTTTAGCTCTCCACGTCCACGCCCATTGGCAGCATATTGTGTCAGGTCGGGGCACAGAACCTTCTTCCCGCCTTTCCGGTATTCCATCAAGTTCTCAGCCTGACAAAAGACAACAGGTTGTAGGATAACTTTATAAGGACCTGGCTAACTCATGGCTAACCCATGGTAACTCAATGTTAACCTGGCCTCGGCAGGTGTGAGTTTTGAAGGGCCCAGTGTCATCCACCAAAAGTCAGATGCGCTTCCGATGACGCGCGCTGCGAGTGAGTCGATCAGGTCTGTCAAAGTTCCCTCATATGTCCAGACTACACGACGGGTATTCCATGTCAAAATGTATACTCTTGGTCTTCCCGCTGCAACCCCAAAAATTCTGGGATCAATCACGACGCTTTCTTGGCGCCAGTGTGCCCCCAAGTGCTTTTTGGGAATGGTTGGTGAATACTCTGGAACGTTTTCGATCACCATGATGTCCGCATATTGCTTGGTTTCCCTGTAGTATGCTTCGTGGGTTGCAAACAATGCAGAAGCTTCCCTCTGCATCTTACCCATGCGGCTGAACGAAGTGCACACGGGACCTAGGCAGGAATTCTATCAATCACCATTCACCAGTGACTCCAGTGACCTGTTTGTCATATATACTGTGACTGTGAATGGGCGCTGAGGTCAAAACCAGCAGCATTGACCTGCAATCCTTGGCGGTTGAGGTAGGGAAACTGGTGAGCTTGAGGCAAACTGGTTCCAATTCCATGTCAACCTCATGTTGCAAACAAGTTTCGTCTCTTTTTCGAAATGAACTTCCTTACCTTGCACATCTTCTTGTGGGTTGAGCAGTACTGAAGGGTTCTGGTAGCACTGAACTTAGTGATATCAGTGACATTGCAGCAGCCGAAAGTTGAAGCCAGAACCTGCTGGCATCCGGCGTCCACTTCACAAGTGAACTCGAACAAAACATTGTGGTTCAGCTGACTCTTTCCAGGTAGGTGCTTGCGAACGAACTCCTGAGCTGCCGTCTCCAGGCTTCTGAGGGCCTCAAGTTGATTGGACTGTTTCACGGAAGAATAGTCAAGAGTAGAGGAGACACTTGACTTATGTTCAAAACATTAGCATTACATCTCAAAAAAGACATGCACTTAAGTTGAGGTCAAGGCTGTTTCTGGTGCCCCAATCCCAGAAAATGAAGACGAGAATGTCCAACACCACCGTCTCAAGCGCTTAGCAACCCAACTCGGTCCGAATCGATCCGATAACCTGGTCAAATACACCTTTGCCCAAGAAAAGGCATCCATGACAGAAGCAAATCCTTGTGGGTGGCTCTCCGAGGCAGCATCAACGGTAGTCTTGGGGTAGCGGAACGGCTTCATCTTCTTCTTCCTGCCACGGGCGCAAAATGACTGCGAGTTCAATGGGACATCACAACTGCGAGCCTATCCCCATGTTTCAGGTTATTCTTGATCACTCGTCGTCCTGAAGTCCTGCATTGAGAAGACCATGTTCTAATCGTTCCCAGTGAGATGCTGAAACTAGAGAGTGACCAAGTGTAATTTTAAGAGGTCCTTGGATTGGATGTTGCCATATGGATTGCGTCTTTCAACTTCCAGAGCGGCATTGGGCACTATTCCCACCCAATTACCCTCACACTGTGTGTTTGGTCCAAATTACTGTTAAATAAGAAAGAAGCACCAAAGAATCCGGCTTGGTTTGAAAGACTTGCACCTGGACAACATTGAACAACAACTCATTTTCCCGGCACCCTGATGTCTATTGTGAACAGCAGTGTAGCTGTCTAAAAGACCCCAGCTGGATCGAATGCTTTAAGATCCACCATGTGTGAACTTGGCTACATGTGAGCCACCCTCACTGACTGCCAGGCTCGTTCTGGCTGCCGCCCTTCGCCACCAAGAGGTTGTCCTGGAGAGGCAATGTGGGAAACATCAAGTTCTCTAAGTATAGTTCAAAGTATATATTGGTAGACATCGTCGCCGGGCCTTCTCCCTGAAGTTTGTTGATGACGTCTTC